AAAACAGATAAGATGTGTTAGTCTATAATGACCGAAGACCAGAAGTTGTGGGATGACATCAAGAATGTCATACCAGAGAAACCAAAAGTCATTAAGAAGAGAAAAAAGGAAAAACCAAAGTGGATGTCAGAAGAAAGTCTGAAGCTTGTTTCCCAACATAGAGATGCTAAAGCAATGAGGAAGAAATGAGGAGGTAAAAGATCTGAAGAGAATTTCAAAGAATTAGCTTAAGAACACAAATTAAAGTATTATAATGAAATATGCAGAGACCTGGCGTTAGAAAACCAAAGTGAAGAACATGTTCACCATTTCTCAATGTGAATGAATAGGAGAGAAAAATTCAAGCCTTGATTTTCAGTATTGAAGGATTCTGTGAGAATACTGATGTGGTGCTGTAGGACCTGCACTGGACTGGGTACCACAATGTTGGCAGTTCAGACTCTTCAGCTGTTTCTCAGAAACCCTATACAGGGTTGTTAGGAGTCAGAACCAACTCGAGGGCACTTAACAGCAACAGCATGGGCAAAATATTGAATGATGCAGAACGCTTAACAAGAAGATGGAAGGAACACACAAAGTCACTGTACCAAAATAAAATGGTTAATGTTCAACCATTTCAGGAGGTAGCGTATGATCAAGAGCCAATGATACTGAAGGAAGAAGTCCAAAGTGCACTGAAGGCATTAGCAAAGAACAAGGCTCTGGGAATACAAATTAAAATCTTTCAACAAACTAATGAAACACCAGGGGCACTCATTCATCTAAGACAAAGAATTTGGAAGACAGCTTCCTGGCCAGTTGATTGGAAGAGATCCATATTTGTGCCCATTCCAAGAGAGGAGACCCAATAGCATATGGGAATCATTGGACAATATCATTAATATCACATGCAAGTAATGTTTTGCTAAAGATAATTCAAAACACCTGCAATAGTACATTGATGTGAAACCATCAGAGGTTTGAACCACATTCAGACTAAGACGTGGAACAAGGGATATCATTGTTGATGGTGGATGTTGGCTAAAAGCAGAGAATACCAAAAAAAGGTTTATCTGTACTTTATTGACTATGCAAAGGCTTTCAGATCATCACAAGCTATGGACAACATTGCTGAGAATGAGTATTCCATAACACTTAATTGTGCTCATGAGGAACATGTACATAGACCAATAGGAAGTCGTTGGAACAGAACAAGAGGACATGGAATGGTTTAAAATCAGGAAAGTTGTATTGCTTTACTAATTTAGTGTGTTTGCTGAGCAAATAACCTGAGAAGCTGAATTGTCAGAAGAAGAATGTGGCATCAGGCTTGGAGGAAGACAACCTGCGATGTATAGACGATACAACCTTGCTTGCTGAAAGGTAAGAGAACTTACTGATGACGAATGTAAGGAAAACAAAAATCCTCACCACTGTACTAATAAATAACACCATAATAAATGGAAAATAGATTGAAGTTGTCAAAGGCTTCATTTGATTGGATCCACTGTTAACACTCATGAAAGGGACAGTCAAGAAATCAGAGGATGTATTGAATTAGGCAAGTATGCTGAACATGACCTCTTTAAAGTGCTTAAGAGCAAAGTTTTCAGTTTGAGGATTAAGGTGCGACTGGACTCAGGCCATGGTATTGTCAACTGCTTCGTAAGCTTGTAAGTGTTGGACAGTGAATAAAAAGACCATAGTAGAATTGATGCATTTGAGTTATAGTGTTGGAGGAGAATATTAAAAGTACCATGGACTGTTAGAATAACAAATAAATGTATGTTGGAAGAAGTACAAGCAGAATGTTCCCTAGAAGCCATAATGACGAGACTTCATCTTTCATACTTTGAACATATTACCATTCTTGAACAGTCCCTGGAGAATGGTATCATATTAAGTAAAGTGGAAGATTAGCTTAAAAAAGGAAGACCCTCAACAAGATGGATTGGTATTGTGGCAGTAGCAATGGGCTAAAGCTGAACTATGATTGTGATCACATTGCAGGACCAGGCAGTGTTTCATTCTGATGTGCATAGGGTTGTTATGATTTGAAACTGACTCTGGCACCTATGAACAACAGTGCTTGTTGCTAGTGATAAAGTCATGAATAAGGCAAATAATACAAAGTAGATAAATATATAGTATTTTATGATGAAGGCACTGAGGGAGATGAAATAATTTTAAAAGTAGAGAATAATTGTGCTTAAAGGGAATTAGGTGGTCAGAGAATACCTTTCTAAAGAAGTGAGTTTAAATTTAGGCCCGAAAGGTGAGAAGGATCCAGTCAGGAGATGGGGAAGAGTGTTCCAGGCAGTAAAAACAGCATCTTAAATGTCCTTACGTGGGAAAGAGCTTGGCAGTTGGGAAGACTTAATGGGCTAAAGCTTGTGAAAAATGTGAGAGTATTAAAAGTTTCAGTATGAAGGTGTAAATTGTAAAGTTGCCGGTAAACTTTTTATTATCAATGTTTAAAAAAAATACATTGACACTTGCTTTGTAAAAATCTGTACTGTTCATCTCTCTCCAGAAACATGCAGGCAGGTGGGAAAATCCAGTGATAAAGTCTTTATGTTTATATTGTTAATGTCAAATCTTATTTTGTAACGCTAGCCTATCTTTATCTGGGTCAAAACACATGCTAAGTTTTATAACTGGATATGTGGCACTGTAGGAAAAACACTGAACTGCTAATCGCAAGGTCAGTGGTTCAGAGCCATCAGCTGTTCCTTGGAACTGACTTGATGGCACTTAACAACAATAATATCAGTTATGTAACTAGAAGTAATAGTAAATTCAGGTCTCCTTTAGATGGAACTTATTTCAGACAGACACAGGGTATGATGCATAAGTCTATTTATCCATGAAAATGGAGTAAGAGGAAAAATAAGTAATAATGGGAACTTGTTTATTGTGTTTCCATAGCCACGCATATTTTTTGGGCATTAAATAATTCTGGTGCTTTTTTTTATGCATCAGCTCTACATATGCATTATTCTGTTTTTGTGGTATTTATAATTTTGTGCCTTGGTGGTGGTGGTGTACTGTGGAGTCAGTTCCAACCCATAGCATTTCAAAACGTGTTGAAAGCCAGTGTACTGATTTTTTTCTTCACTATATTCCATTAAAAAAAATGTTTTTCTTGAGTGTATACAGTGTTTTGTTAGCTTTTAATAAGTTAGATTAGACCCTCCTGTGCTCAAAAAACATCCCCACCCCCATACTTTTTACCTATATACAGCCAAACTGAAGAAACTCCTGTCTAGTATACATTCCCCGTGTACAGAACATGCATTGCACAGGTCAAGAGATGTCTGAAATCTACACAGTACTTCTGTTAGTTGGTGAGAAGACTATATGTAATTGTTTGGCTTTCTTAATAGGATGGTAAACCCTTGCTCTGTTAATATAGACTATTATAAGACTTTTAAAAGTAATTAATCACTTTGTGTTTTAAGTGCTGAGATGACAATATTGAATATCTGTGTTTTCATGGTTCTCAGAGACCTGTAGGGGAAATCATCATGTAAAAAATATAATATGATGTAGTAAATAACATACAAGGCATATATGTGAAGTATATTTTGAGACAGAAAAAAGAGCAGTCAGTTTTAAAGAGAGTAAAGGAACATGAAGTAACAATTAAATTGGATATCGTAGGATGAGTAAGAATGGAGACGAGATAGACGGAAGGATATTATCAAAGACACAGATTTGAGTGTAGATGATTTGCTTATTTGTCCTGTAGTTGTGCTATGAATAGGTCATTGATTGGGTGATAGAGGAAGTGGGGGGAAAGTTATGATGGACCTTCCGTGTATGTTTAGGATTTGGACTTAATATTTTTGAAAATGGGGAGTGATCAGAAATTTTAGCATAGTAGAAGAACATGTTCTATTCAGCTTTGTTAGTTTAGAAAGCTATCTTTGGATAATATTAAAGAAAGGATTAGAGAGGACGACATCAAAAGCAAGCAGACCAGTTTGGTTGCTGTTGTTAGAGCTTAAGAAAGAAGTGATGAAACTTGAATTGAGATATTAACAGAGAGAATAGAGAAAAGATCATGGATTTCTAAAAAAAAAAAATTTGAGACAATTCTAAAGCAAAATCAGAGCTCTGGCTGAGAAGTTGTGTGTTATAATGGAATGTGCACTGTTCATACACCTAGGTTCTAGAACTTGCTCTGCTTTTGGCTCTTGGTGTGGCCTTGAGTCTCTTAATTATTTGGATTTTTTTTTTTTTTTTTTTTTTCCGTAAAGCAATGATACCTATCTCTTCATTTCTGGGATTTCAATAAAGGAGAAAATAAAGCAAAATTTAAAACTAAACTCAAACAAATACAATATAGTTTAGAGTTTCATGATCTCTTTTCTTCTGCAGCTGACGCTTTTCTCTCTATTATTGTACTGAAAATCTGGGACAGAAATAAATCCAGCTGTTCATTTATCAGGATGTTGATGATAAAAATCTGTAATTATGTTATTGGTTTACCTTCTTATAATAATTACTATATATACATATATTTATTCCTTTTATTATGGTTATCATAGTCCCAATTTGTATCTTTTAGGGTTTATATTGTTGTTAAGTGTTGTAGAGTCAGTTCTGACTCATAGTGTCCCTGTATAGGGCTTCCATGGATTTGTGTTAGATATATTCAAATGGTCTCTGCTTAGATTTTCATATTTAGCTTTAGAGGACTAGAACTCATTGGATTTAAATAAATCTCTGCCTATTCTTCGTAAGTATTTTTGAGGTGTATTCTTCACCTTTATCAGAGTACATCATGCTTAGCATTCAGCAGACTATTGATTGATGTCAGTAGACTTTGCTTTTAAAATAAGTGGAGCAGAGTTTACTATTATTTACATTCCCTTCTGTTGTTCAGCTGAAAGCATTAGAGATACTTAGGAGATGATGTAATATAGATGAATACTTACTTTTGTTGCAGTAACTATAAATGTGCACTATATTTGTAACATATTATTTAAAAGCACTTGTTTTCTTTTTTATTCTAGTTCCCAAAGATCCCAAACCCCAGTGGAGACGAGTAGCATGGAGTTATGATTGTACGCTGCTGGCCTATGCTGAAAGCACAGGCACTGTGAGAGTGTTTGATCTTATGGGAAGTGAACTCTTTGTCATTTCCCCTGTACGTAATTACCTTAAACTGATCATATTTTTCCCCCCAGTGTTTTCCAGCTACAGGTACTTGAATGAATGAATTTTAAGAGTTGGAAAACTCAAACATAAATCAGAATAATCTCAGAATTTGTTCAAAATCTTTCGAGTTACTTGAATATTTAATCTTTTATGTTTTAATACACTGTCTGGATATAAATAAGCACTATGAAAATATGGTAGTACCTACACAATAGCTAGAGGTCAGAAAGCTGTTAACAAGTTCCAATGAGGGAAGGAAATCAATGGTCCTTATGCAACAGGAACAGCTTTCAGAGGGGATAGAGTAGTTCTGGTGGCACAATGTGTTAAGCATTAACCTGCTACTATAACTTTGATGGTTCAGAACCCAACAGCTGCTACAAGGGAGAAATATGAGACTTTCTGCTCCTGGAAAAATTTGCAGCCTTGAAAACCCTAGAGAGCAGCTCGACTCTCCTCTATAGAGTTGGTATGAGTTAGAAATGACTTGAAGGCAGTGAGTTTGTGTGTGTGTTACAGAAAATAGAAATTTTAAATGAAAGTGGAGAAAAAAATTAATCATAATGTTCCTAGATGGCACAAACGGTTTGTACTCAACTGCTCAGGTTGAGGTTGGTGGTTAGAACTCACCAGTGGCACTGTGGAAACAAATGCTTAGTGATCTACCTCCATTAAGATTACAGTCAAGGGTTAGCTGTGGATCAGTTCAAGTCTGTAACACATGGGTCATCATATGTTGGAATCGACTGGATGGCAACTGACAACAACAATAACTTGTATTTGTATAGTGCTTTATACTTTGTTAATTACTGATACATAATATTTAATATTCACAACTGTTGAGTATGATTAGGTAGATATATTATTACAGTTTAGCAAATTGAGATTGAATAAAGTGACTTTTACACGCTAATCCAATTTCTCTTTTATGATTCCAGTATTATTTAGTGCGTATCGTTCTTCCTCAAATGAACAAAGTTAGAGGCAGGTAGAAAACAGTGGTTCTAACTCAATTTCTGAGAATCATGTGGTTAACTTTATAAAGAAAAGCAAAACCAAAAAACACATTAGATTGCTTGAGTTTTGCCCATTGAGGTTCTGATTTGATTGATCTGGGTGGGATCTGTTCTTTAATAGGGATGATCATTTCATCACATGATTCCAATTAGAAGCACTGATCCAAAGAATGATTTTTGTTTAGAAATATTGAGTGGAAAAATGTAAAAAAATATGTTGGACAGTTATGGAATTCTTGGCAATCCTAAGGAGTTTTTTAGATCAGCTCTAATAGAAATAAAGTGTGAGCCACATAGGTAATCACATTTGTAATAGAAAATTTTCTAGTAGCTGCATAAAAAATGATGAAACAGGTGAAATTTGTTTAATAATATATTTTCTTTAGTGTATATGTTCCAAATATTTTAACATGCAATTAGTATAAAAATTACTAAGATTTTGCATTCTTTGGAATTAAGTCTTTAAAATTTGGTTTTGCATTTAGAATGTGTTGCAATTCAAACTAGCTAGATATCTCAATTCAAACTAGCCAGACATCTCAACTCATAACTAATTGTATGTGGTTCAGTATTGCATTATGTGGGTCTAGAAAATGAGGCATTTAGAGTTGAGAAACTTTATTATGTGTGTTTCCTAAGGTTCACATACCTTCACATCTTTGTAGTATAGCCACATACTTATTTGGTGAAAAAAATCTTAGTATTATAGTATTAAATGAATGTTTAAGGTGCCCTTTCCATTTACTAAGTTGCTGATTGTTGTTGTTAAGTGCTGTCCAGTCAATTCCAACTCATAGCGAACTGAGAGGAGCAGCTGATGGGTTTAAATCGCTGACCTGTGGTTTGCAGTCCATTGCTTATCCTATAGCACCACACCAGGAGTCCAATTACTGATTAGGCAAATGGAAAGTAATTGTGAACTTTTCTTTTTAGCCTGCCAGAGAAATCATTAGGAGATTTATTTCTGGAAACAATGTAATGGCATTCTTTGATGCCAAATGGTTGCAGTACTTTTTATTTTTTAAATCTGTTCAGTGAAAGCTCACTCTACTTGGAATTTCCCTATCTAGGCAAATATCCACAGAGGCTGGTGTGTGCTGTGGTTCTAGCACAAGACTGGGTGGGCTGGTCTAAATCTGAGGATGTAGTTTAGTCACTGTCTTAACATGATTTTTAGTACAAAGAGCAATTCTGGACTACCTAATTTAAAGTGGACATTGCAAGGCCAAGGTCTTAGATGTCCTTCAGTTATATGTTTGTTAATTTTTATGTAGTGGAGTCCTGGTGTGAAACTTTAGGATATGCACTGGACCTCTAGGTTGGTTTGAACTTCAAGGTTGAAAGTTCAAACTCACCAGATGCTCTTAGGAAATCCTATACAGGGTTAATATGAGTCAGAACCGACTCGACAGCACTTAACAACAACATCAACAACAACATTAATTTAGTAACGTAACTCTCCCTCTTTTATAGGCATCTAGTTTTGCAGGTGACTTGAGCTATGCCATTGCTGGGTTGATATTTTTAGAATATAAAGCAAGTGCACAATGGTCTGCAGAACTCTTGGTCATCAATTACCGAGGAGAACTCAGAAGTTACCTTGTAAGGTAAAAATACAGTTTGTTTGGGCAGTGTGTTTGGAAATAATGTTTATTTCTCTGGTTTTGTGTCAGCTTTTGTTGTTTTCCTCCAGCATTTTAATAGGAAGTGCTCTGATGATGCTGTGTGGTAAGCATGGGGCTGCTAACTTTAAGATCGGTGGTTCTGAAGATGTGGCTGTGTGCTCCTGTAAAGATTTACAGTCTCAGAAACCTTAGATAGTGTGGCTGTGAGTCAGAATGACTTGTTAGCAGTGGGTGGGATTATTCATGATAATTCAATATTATTTTTCAGTGTGTTTTCTATTAACGTAAACTATGCATACAAAGAAATGCACAAATCTTAAATCCATTATTCATTGAGTTTGGATCAATCCAAATCCCTTTCAAAATTCAGAACATTACAGTCATGCCGTACAGGTACCTCATGTCCCTGCATCTCAATCCCCACCCATCCTCAGAGCAACCACTTTAATTTAACATTTTTTTTTCTGTTCCATATGTTAGTTTTGCATGTTTGAGTAATTCACATTAATATAATCAAGTAGTTCAAATCTCTTTGCTCCAAAGTCTTACTTCATTCCTCATCATATTTAGATATTCATGCATATTGTTCCATATATCAGTAGTTTCTTTTTATCATGGAGTAGTATTTCTCATGTATTTATTTTAGTTTGTGTTTCTATTTTTTAGTTGGTAGACCCCTAAGTTTCCAATTTGAAATTATTACAAATATAGCTTCTATAGCTATTCTCTTGCAAGTCTTTTTTGTATATATTTTCATTTCTTTTTGGTCAGTTTCTTACTATGGAATTGTTAGGTAATGGGGTAGATTACTATGGAATTGTTAGGTAATGGGGTAGATTACTATGGAATTGTTAGGTAATGGGGTAGATGTAATTTATTTTTAAATTGCCAGACCTTTTTCTGAAGTGGTTGTATCATTCACAACCCACCAGTAATGCTATCAGAGTTCTGGTTATTTCGCATCTGTAGCAATTTTTTTTTGTTGTTTTTTTCTGTATTTTTAGTTGTAGACAATTTAGTGGGCGTTTTTTTTGTATCTCATTGTGGTTTGATGGTATTTATTTCTTGTTTTCTTTATTTAGTGTTGGAACCAATCAGAGCTACCAAGAAAGCCACTGTTTCAACTTCAGTGGTTATTATCCTCGTGGAATCAACACAGCTATTTACCATCCTGGTCACCGGTAAGTAACCACTTGTCATTTTCAGTGGAGTATTAGGTGGATATAAGGAGCTCTGGTAGTGTAGTGGTTACAAATCAGGCTGCGAACCGCTAGGTCAGCAGTTTGAAACTACCAGCTGCTCCACGAGAGAAAGATGAGGCTTTCTGCTCCTGTAAAGATTTACAGCCTCGGAAACCCTGTGCAGGTTCACTAGGAGTCAGAACCAACTCGGCACTTAACAACAACAACATTAGGTGGACATAGACGTTTTGGCACAGATTAAGAGCGAGAAAATTGTCAATTCTTATTCTTTCCTTTTTCTGCATAGTTATCTTGAATGTCTGTTATAGTGTTGTAGATCATTCTGATCATTTATGCTTATCTTCAGATTATTTATGCTGATTTGTGCAGTTGACTGAGTTGTTCTAAGCCAGCTGAGGCATTGGGGAACATTTAGTGAGAAAACTTTTCTTCTCTTTTAACTTTCTGAGCCCCCTTTGAAAAGAGTCTGAATGAGGATCGTACCTAACTAAATGAGGATGATGCCTAGTTTCTAGGATTATTGAGAGAGCTAGGGAGACCCTGCATTATAAAAGGCTTTCCTTAGGCATTACTTTCTTTACTCTTTCCCTTGAAACGTGTGTTACCTTGATTTTTGCACAGCTGCTTTCTACTACGATACCCCATTCTCATATGCCACTTCTCTATATATTTGCCCTCTGCATTGAGAATTCTTCGAAACTTTCGGCATTTCCTACTTGCAGTGGGATCCACTCTTTTCTTATGAGAAAATGAAATTTGTATATGTTTTATAAATTAGTCAAGCTCTGACTGGTTCTGTAAATGGGAAGGGTGTATCACATTTTGAATCAGACAAACCTTGTTTGAAATTCTAAGTTTTAGAATTTAACTGTGTCTATTGGTAATCCCATGGCCACTTTTAAATCCGGCTTGAACCTCTGGAAATTCTCTGTGTCAGTGTATACTTGCAGCTGTTTCTGTATTACCTTTAGTAAAACTTTACTCGCATGGGATATCAAAGATATTGTCTGATGATTTCTGCATTCCGTTGGGTCATTTCTCTTTGACATGGGCACAAATACGTATCTCTTCCAATCAGTTGGCTAGATGGTTGGCTTCCAAATTTCTTGGCAGAGATGAGTGAGTGCCTCCTGTGACCCTTACTTTCTTGAAAGATTTCAATTTTTATTCCATCAATTCCTGGTGTCTTGTTCTTTGCCAATTCCTTCAGTGCACCTTGTACTTTCTCCTTCAGTATCATTGGCTCTTGATCATATGCTGCCTCTTGAAATGATTGAACATTAACCATTTCCTTCTGGTACAGTAACTCTGTGTATTCCTTCCA